TTAATGTTTTATTAATATACTCATTTGTTATCATTAAAATAATACGTAGTTAAATAAAGGGGTGTTATTTATACTAAAGGTATTTTAATAATAAATAAAATCTATGATGAAATTCTCTGCAAAATTTTGTTATATGCAAAAATTTAATTAAAATAATTATTTTTAACATAGAATAAGAAATATTGAGTGTCATAAAAAATGGGAGGTTTGGGGTGGGGGCGATTTTATTCTTCTTTCTACACCGAATGGATTGAATTAATTTACAATAGACTAAACATTGATAAAATTTTCAGAATAATGCTTTCAGTGGCGTAATAATCATAAATTTGGCCAAAATTTTGTTACTAATATTTTTTTTCATTTATGCTGGCCACTATAGTGGTTAGACACTAGCACAAAATACTGGCAAATTTTTAAAATATGGTTTAAGGGGCGCCCCCAAAAAATTTTTTAACCCCCCCCCCCCCTCCCATGGATCAATCCTGGCTACGCCACTGGCGACAACTATCCCGATATGGGTTAGTCATATTCATTTAAGTTTTATTAAGAAATACCAGATTTGTTTAATTACCCCCATTTTATCACTAATGAAATTTCTTTTTCATTTTACCAATTAAGGGTAAAATGAATGTTATTTTACAAATTTTTTCCCATCATACTTGCACCTATTAGAAGTGTATTTTTACGTACGTTTGGAAACCTATTTGTTGATTCAATTCATATTACAAGGAATTTGATATAATTTAATTTTACGATTTTTTATCTTATCGCTTTAGAATTTAATTATATATTAACTATTAATTTTAACATTGTATCAAACACCAAGGTACACTAATTGATTTAATTAAATAAAACATATGAAAACTAGTATTTAAGATTCAATTAACTGTATTTTTATTTCGATTAATTGAATGATTAGGTATGAGGGAACATTATAACATGAAATTTCATTGACAAAAATCGAACATATTCGCTTTCAACATTCACCTTCAAAAAAAGGAACGCGTTCGCGTTCAAAACTTTATGAATAAATTTTTTTTTAAAATATCATTTAATATATAATTAAATGACATATTTTAACACAATACATTATTAGCAATGTTTAAAATTATTATTGTTTTATTTTGATACATATAAATACAATATAATATAGTGAATAAAAAATTCTTTTATAAAAAATTTATATTATTAATTTTTAATAATAAATTGTTTTACAAAATTTTTGTAAGACAAAAACGCTTGGCGTTATTACACCATTAGCTACACTAAAAAATAAGCTCTACAGGGGCAAATAAGGGGATTTCAGAATTGTACTTTATAATAATTTAAAGGCGGGGAATTCATTAAAATTATTTATCGTTTTTCTCTTAGCTTTAAAAAATTGAGACAAGTAATCCTTCAACGTATCCTCTACTTCTTCTTCGAAAAAGGAAAATATTTCGAAATTAATATTTCTTGCAATTTCATTATTATTTCTAGGTCTTTCAACACATTCAATAACCCTATAAGTTTATTTTTATATATACCTTCTGTGGAAGTTTTATTCATGGCCATTAGAGCTTTATTTAGGCCATGGTAAATTATATGTTAATATTCAAATTAAGCCGAAATAGTGGCAAGTTAAAAAAATTCAAACAGCTGATTTAAAAAACCCTTTTTTCTTAAAAAAAGAAGGATTAATATTCTAACTTTTTAATTTTTTTCCGGTGTGGGAATTTCATGGAATAGCAAGATTATAAAGTAACAATGAATATTTTAAAGGACTAGATTATGAAGTTATTAATTATTTATTTAAACTTTAAATTTATTCAAATGCTAGCATCAACAGAATTTTCTTATTTAGCATTGATAGTTAAATTAAAATCAGTTCCCCTACCCCATAAAGTAATTAAACATATGCTGAATTATCGGGTATAGGCTTATGTTTTGCCCTAATCTTTTTATATTACCATTATGGACGTTTAAGTAATAGTCCTTGAACTATTACGCTTATACACGTTTTAAACATCTGACTTTTGGGCTTGTTATTCATTTAAATAATAATCATTTTTTATATGTGTGGGTTTGATTGATCTATGAATATCAAATTTTTAAAAATAGGATTAAACTTATATTTATTAGATTTTATTTTATATTTATAAATAATTGAATGAATCGTTTATAAAATATTCCTTCTCAATCCCAAAGATTTTCGATGACGCGAGATTAAAATTCGAAAAGATAGAATTCATTTTGATGGACCCCCCCCCCCTCTCTGTAATGAAAAAAAAATTTCGGTTGATAAATTTCAGTTTATGAGTGATTATTATTATTAGGATAAAAAATATTTTAATTACCTTTTATTTAATACCCATATCAAAAAAAAATATTTTTTACAGCCCCCCTCCCCGCCTCCCCTAGTTAATTATTCATGTCACCTAATTCTTGGAAAATTTTTATGAATATTCCTTTTTTAAGTTTCCGATGACGTATGTATAATTTAAAAAAAAATGAATTTACTATTTGTGCGGCTTGCCCACAAATTGCGGGCTTCTCATTTTTCCCCCCTATATTAAATATTCAGTTTGATGAATTTGGGGAAAACCTAGCGTGCTCTGTTGTATCCACAACTAGAGGGCTATAATTATGCCTTGTTATTATGAAGCTGATTATAAGTGAAAATTCGCTCGCGAAATTTTAAAGTCAGGCCAAAATCTTATTTCTGTAACGATATTTCTAGGTATTTAAATGCAAATACTTTTGGAAATAGATTTTTATAGTATCAATAATAAAGATTTTATTTATGCCTTGTCCCAGTTTCACTAAATCAGTTATAAATTTAGTCAACAAATTTTGCCATTAATGTTATTAAACGTACGTCCAATCCATGTATTCCATTTTATTTAAAACTCGGTTTCCCTTTAGTGTTTGGCAAAATGTGGAATTAAAAACTATTAATAAGGTAATAATTTTAGCGCAAGTTTCCCTATATTCTGACATGAAACCAATTTTAGGAATATTAATTTATTTCACCAATAACTTTTTTTCCTCTTTATACTATAAAAATTGGGTTTTATTCAGGGTTGCTAGTCCCCCCTCCCCCATCAACGGGTGACTCCCGCAATTTTTTTTTAGCTTACACGCTGAGTTCCTTCCGCAAAACTTCCCAATTGAAAATCTCCAGCAATTTCAAACCTTCTTCTTCAATTTTAAAATTTCTCTTGCATTTAAATTTTTTATCATTCTAACTTTTTTAATTTATAAATAATAATTTTGAGAAACAGTATTTGATCATTTTTATCTTTTTAAATAAATTTAAAAATTTTTTCAAAAACATTTAAACGTTGTCAATTTCTTTCCCATGTGTTTATGTTACTTAATTTTAGGAATTAGGATAGTAGCATTTTATCTGGACTTGACTATATTTGAGGTTAAATCTCTTTTATCTTAATATCATTATATTCATTTAAATACATAACATTATAAATTATATCTGACTTATTTCTATAAGATAATTATTTTATTTATTACAGTTCACTTTGAGCAAGAGATATTCATTATCATTAACCAGTTATTTAAAACATAGCATTGCATAACTCCTCAATATTTTAAAATATGAAGAAACAATCATTAATTAATTCCTATATTAATTAATGTCAAACACAGGCACCACTATGATATGGAATGGTGTAAATTAGTACGACATGTCCTTATCAGATGATTAACACCAATAACCGCCATTGATAGAATTTTAAAATATCATGAACCTCTAAAAAGATATTTTTTAAATTGGAATTATAAAAACGGTCCAAATAATAAAGAATTTTTTGTAAATGAATTGGCCATATTTAGCTATGGTTTTTAATATTGATTCGCAAAATTTTGTTACATTATGTTAATCTTTATAGCTACAAATTAATAATAAGCTCTATTGTTAAAAATGTCATTTTCAATTGTTTAAATGTTGTCCTAATTAATGGCTTTTTAAATGAAAAATTTTAAAGTAATCAAAATTTAATTTTAATAATTCTATTTACTAATGTATAAATATTATGACCATGGAACAAAAACCATCAATTGATGAATATTGTAATATGATAAATATATTAAAACACTGATAGATATTGATCTTGTTTGAGGAAATTGTTATGCTTTATATTTTATACGATCTTCGGAATACTCCAAAATATACGGTCTAAGAGTATTGGAGAAATGGGTATAATTTCCCCATAATAACCATAAGTCCCCTCCACACGCTTGGAAAAAATAAGCCAACATATATTCTCGAACTATTTTGAAAAATATTACAAAATGTTACTGACTTGTTAATATCTATATAAAGTATTAATTATAATGGGGAGAAGTGGGGGGGGGGGTAAGATTTTCTCCCGCAAAATATTATTTTTTTCTAAATTTCTCTCGCAATTTAAAAATTTTAACCTGGCAACTCTGGTCTTATTGCATTTTCAAAATAACTGGTCGTTGTTTAGCAAATTTAGTTGTTATTTAGTAAAACTATATGTGGTCTATGCGATATCTAATAACTGTGAAATTCGTACATGAAAGATTTCGGGCAAGGCCATAAAATTTATACATAAAAAATTAGGCAAGGCCCCATAAGATACAAATTTAGAGGCCAGTTTTAAGGGCTAAAATTTTTTTATACCCCACTATGGGCTAGATATATCATAAAATTAATCACTCTCTGCTGATGGCTATATATCATAATCGCCTGATTGTTAAAATTGGGTGATAGATGACATCATGATGACGCTGCAAGATGTTAGATAAAAATAGAGAAAACTAAAAACTAAGGTTACTTTTTTTAAATTTTGTTTTCTAAAAAATTAAACCAACTTATAAAAAAAATTAAGATCTCAATTACAACAATAATGAAGACGATTCAACCTTGCAGTTGCATTCAAGGGTTTCCTTATTTATCTTATTTTTCTGCTAAATATATAAATTTTCGCGAAACATATGCGTTTAAATAAATATAAAAAAATTAATAATTCGTGTTCGTTTGTGTTTTTTAAATTTTTTAAAACAATACATTTTTTTACATATTAATTTTTAAATATTTTAAATAAAAATTTGTATAATGAAACTTTTGTGTTTGGCATTATTAGTGATCTTAGCATATTCTGTTTATTCGGAAACTACTGTAAAACACTTATTAACTCTTTATATATTTAAAGTTTAAAATTGTTTTTTTAGGAGGCTATAGGCTGTAAAGGAGGATGGGTTATATAATGGGATACAAATTTTAAAATATAATTTTACTTTTTTAGTATAAAATTTGATAGAATTGAAAAATTACAAATTAAGCAGACGCGTTTAACGCTGTATTTTTCTAAAAACGATCTCTTTAAATTGAAGCAATATTTCTATTTTAGAAAAAACAAATAATTTTCCTTTTTTAACGCTAATAAAAAGTTTACTAATTTTCAGGGATTCCCGCTCTCGCTTATATATCCTATAAAATTTTAGAAGTAAATTTGAAATTAATATAAATTGATGCTAGGAAGTAAACGCTTATATTTTAATTGAGTTTTAAAAAAATCTCTAAAAATGAGAGAAATATTAGAATCCCACAGTGATTCCCAATTTACTATCCCTTTGCAGTTTGTCATATTTAATAAACGGAAAATATCTGCAATAGACTAGTTAAAAAATTATACATTCCGTGAGCAAATGGGTTAAAAATATTTTTAAATCAATGGACGGGATGGCATATGAAATAATTTCTGGTGAAATGAGCAGAATTGGCGTATATTTATTAAAAAATTATTTTTGTTTTTAATATTGTATATTTTGTAAATTTAAATATAATCAAATAAAATAGATTAAAAACAAATCAACCAATCAAATAATTTTTAAGCAATTTTTTTTAGAGTTAAAAAAACCATTGGAGGGCGAATAAGCTGAATATTTTTTTTAAACGGTGGGTGGGCGCTTGGGTTAATACTCAGCCCAATTTAGACATCTACATATAAAGGAAATTTCAGCGAAAAATTATAGAAAATAAATTTTAGCGAATATTTAAAATATTCAATAATTCCAAACGAGAAATCAGAAACCTTGACCACATAAGAGGAATAAAACTTCAACACATTATAAAAATAGCTGGTATATGGAAAGATGATAAACTGTGTTAGGTGAAATAGGAATGACATGGCAAATATTTAACCCAATTGCTAACCAGCAGAAAGAAATTTAATCTTTTTTTGAACAAGTATATGACCACCTTACTAATAAATGTTAATTTGGAGCCCTAGTAGCTTCTCTAGGGTGGAGGGAGGTGCACAGTGGCTTGAGCCCCTTGAAATATTTGACTAGCTCCCTGAATAAATATATTATATTTTTTTTATAAACATTTTGTGTTATGTTCTTAACTTACATTCGTTTTTATATAGATTTTTCATATAAATTTAAAAATAAACAAAATTTTAATGTAAAAATTTTCTAAAATTTATAGATTAGATATTCTACACATGCTAGAATACATTTCCGCTCAAATTAGATTTTTCAAATTTAAAAAGCACCCTCGGTAAATGATATAAAATTGAGAGATTCCCAATCCCTATGTATATTATATCCCAATACGACATATATATGTATATGTTTATAATAAATGGAAAAAGGTGAGAATTTAAATAGTTGGGGTTTGCAAATCTCACTATAAAAAGAATATAATGTGAGATATTAAGGAAATTGCTAAGCCCTTAATAAGTTAGAAAAATATAAATAAATAAATTATATTAAATAAAAATTAATGGTATTAAACAATAAAATAATATTAAACACTATATTAATTTCAGTTATAAATAACATTTCATACGATAAGTACTTCAGTGAAAATTACAGGATTTATAATGTAAAACTGAGTGTATTGACACTACCCTTAATTAGAGCCCTGTAAAGTAATTTTTTTTCGTGGTCCGAGCTCGACGGGAGCACAACACAAATTTTTTATACGAACCCAATCCAAATTTGACTAAAAGGAATTTAGAATTTTTCAATCTGTTTATTAAATATAAATAAGAATTTATTACATACTTCAGATTTTTAATTTGTATTTTTTTTGGTCTCAAATCTTTGAGTTCTAATCTTTTCAAAAATTATTTTTAAATTTGGATCCATTTTATAGAAAATCCTATAAATATAAAAATCTGATAGCCAGGAATTTCTTGCTAGGGGAGGGAAACTGCTTATTTAGAAGAGCCAATATTTTTTGAAATAAACAAATAGTTAGGCATTCATAAAAATTTTTTGCTATTTTTAATAAAAATTTATAAATGTAAATATAAATACAAAATAATACTCGATGTAAATTTTAACATAAATGAATTAAATGCTAAATTCTGTGTTATTATTTTCCATAAGCTATTAAAAATACTAGATTTTGTTTATGTCGATCTTTCATCAATGTAGAAATGAGGCCTCACAAGAAGCCGTTGATACCCCAACGATGATGGCTGCTTACAATTTTTTAAATGCAAGATATTTTTTTATATATATAATATTTACGATATATATAAAATAATGTGTTTCTTTAACTTATGTAGCTAATAATCTTTTTCATGATATAACGCTTCCACATTTAAGTTTAATAATGATTTTCTAATTGGGCCATTATTAAAACATGATAGAAGATTATAATCGTCTTGTGTAAATCTATCTAAAAAACGATCTACAATAATATCATAATGATAATTTTTAAAGAACTTCCATTATAGTCCTTTACACAATTAAATTAAAATTATTGCCTATAAAGTTTTCTAAAATAAATGATTGTTACGAGATTATTTATTTTATTTTAAATTAATAATTTAATTTTATATAATATATTTTAAAATTTAACATTTTTCTTATCAAACTAAAAAATCAGGCTTATATAACAATTTTCATATTAATATATAAAAAAAAATCAATTAACATTAAAAAAAACAATTTAAAGGTTAGTGTTAATCGGTCATATCAACATTCCACCCTTTAAAAAAATGATTTCCACTTAGATTTTTCTTGCATGTGAATCTTATCGTGTAGTCAACGTTTCTTGATAGTTTTATTGTCATCATTAACTTTTGCTATTGAAAGTTTATTTAAAAGAAAAATATTTTATTATATATATATTTTTAGCTTTATTTCATTATAAAATTATCGAATTTTTTTGGCAAAATTATATTCCTGCTAGGTCTTTGACTAACAAGACTCTGTTCTTGTACTCCTAAATTTGGATCATCATTTCTTCTAATATTTACAGTAAAAGGTATTGCATTTGTTTTCACATGTGTCGTTTCATCAAGAGGTGCATGTTTATTACACGTATCACAGTTTCTCACCTCCTGATCTGTTTCAGCGTTTAGACCTGGCCACCACAAGTAATCTCTCGCCAACAATTTCGTTTTCTCAGCAGCAAGATGCCCTTTGTGTAATTCCTGTAATATCTCCTTTCTCATATTTTTCGGTATAATGATCCTATTCTCTTTAAAAAGAAAATCTTTAATTAAGCTCAGTTCCTTTATATATTTTATTCTTTATCTGTTCATGATTCTTTATATTGTTAATTACCTCCATTAATTCGATATCAATACTAGTTTCTTGAACTATTCTTTTAAAATTTATTGGTAAATCCCAAAATTATCAATTTTTTTATCATCTATCTCTTGTATCATTTCTTCTGTGTTCATTTGGGGTAATCTTGACAAACAATCCGGTACTACATTTCGTTTCCCGTGTCTATGAATTATCGTAAAGTCATAAGCTCCCATAGCCAAACTCCATTTTTGAAGTCGCATTGATATGGATGAGTTATCCTAAAGTCCCTTCGTAAATATATAAACGAATAACTTGTGATCTGTAATTATTGTAAATCTCGTACCAATTAAATATTCTTGAAACTTTTTTACCGCGTATATAACAGATAAAGCTTCCCTCGCTATATTAGTGTAATTAAACTCTGATTTCAATAAGGTTCTTGACGCGAAAGCAATGGGTTTCTCTTTACCATCACCATCAATATGAAATAAGACTGCGCCTAGACCTTTCTTTCAAGCATCAGTTGCAATGCCTATTGGTATATCCGGATTATAAAAATTTAACGTAGGCGGAGTACTTATCAGATTTTTTAGGTCGTGGAAGCTTTCTTTATGTGTATTATCCTATAACCATTTGTCTTTATTAACCATTTTGTATAAAGGATCAGCTATGTCCGCAAAATTACATAAAAATTTTCGATAATAGCTCGCCATCCCCAAAAAAGTTGTCAATTCATCTTTTGTTTTCAGTTCCGGCATGTTAGAAATAGCTTTTATCTTATCATTGGGATGCATACCATGTTTGTCTATATCATGTCCCAAAAAGCGTATTTTATCTTGCACAGCTGCGTTAAATAATAATAAGTTGGAACTTGTAAATTTCCTCGGGTGTAATAACCTGAATTTTTCAATCAATATCGATGGATTGATGAAGTCGGTAGGTGAACATATCTATTTAAGCTTGATATATACCTCATCTGGTAGTCTTTTTGTAAAGGAACCTGCTTTTTCGATGTCCGAGATCTGAGTGTCCTTAAAGATGTCTTCGAATCTACTCAAAAAAAGATCGCTATTGCTTGAGTATATAGGAAATTCAATATTTATATTAACATTATTATTGGGAATCTGTTTCATATTTATTTATTTATTTACAATTTCCTCGAATATGTAGCGGAACTGCCACCATATATAGACAAACATGGTATACATCCCACCGCTGCCACCATAAAGTTTTCTAAAATAAATGATTGTTACGAGATTATTTATTTTATTTTAAATTAATAATTTAATTTTATATAATATATTTTAAAATTTTACATTTTTCTTATCAAACTAAAAAATCAGGCTTATATAACAATTTTCATATTAATATATAAAAAAAAATCAATCTACACAATTTATATTAAAAAAAAATCAATTTATATAAACATAAAAAAAAAACAATTTAAAGGTTAGTGTTAATCGGTTATATCAACAGCCTAAAATATCTTAAATATTTGCAGTCGTTTTAAGTACTGCTGAATTGGTATTAGTTTTGTAGTCTAAGATATTCTGTATTTTTATAATCGATAATCATAGGCCCTTTAAGAGTAATATAATCTCTGAAGTTTAACAAAAATAATGTTCTTTATATATCCAAAAATAAATAATAATGATCAATCGCAAAACGAAGAATAAAATGTTCTTCGTCTATAATTGAATTTAACTTAAGTGATAAAATAATAAAAAATTGTAAATTTGTAACGATAAAATTATACGATAATATAAACTGATTTTTTTAAATTAAGAAATAAAACCTTTTTTGTTATTGCCATTAGGTATAAAATAAATATCTATGAAATAAAACGAAAACTTAAAATCAATATATCCAACAAGTATCCTTAGTGATTTTTGAGGGATGAGATTAAATATTGACATAAGTTTTTCAGCCAATTCTTATCAAATCAAAAGAATCATCCCTTTATTAATATATTATAATTGTGGTATTAATACGAAATTAGCATCAACTCTATTAGTACCTGCTGACTGTAGATACTTAAGTGTATCTATTGTTATTACTTTAAATTATAATTCCCAATATAATGTAATTTATATTATCCATTGAGATAAAAGACCAGAGACTTCTGCTGAATCATAAGGGAATACCTTTGTGTTAAAGTTTCTATTTAAATAATTATTTTTTTTTGGGGGGCCAAAATTTCTTTCGAGGAGCCAGGTTTAGGGGCCAAAAAGTATTTTTTTTGAAGGGGACTGCTTTTTCTACCACTTCCCCCGCCTGGAGGCTATTTAATTTAATAGATCTTAAATAAATCAAAATTATCAAATGAAAATATTTTATAACTGTTATAATAGTATTCTGGATTTTATGTTGGCTAAATGTAAAATATTATATATATTTTGTTTAAACCTGATAGATGATGTATGTAAATAAAAGGGTAACTAATCATAATATAATTCACAATCATAGGAAATTGTTAATTTGGGAAATATAAATTACATAAATGAATAAATGAAATGTCAGATAAAAATGTGTAATTCTGAATGACATTTTGATGAAACAAAATGATTATCGATAATATTTCTATTATTTAATTTTCGGGCTTCGGTTTTGGCTGCCTCTTACAGGCCCAAGCTCGAAAAAAAGTCTTTTATGTCCGAGCCTGACCTTCTGACAGCCCGTTCAGAGCTCTACTTTAATTTACCTTAATCTACCTTAAATACTATATTACTGCTTTGTGGATTCAGGGAGGAGGTAGATACAATAGAAAATTATAATTCCCAAATAAATATTAACTAAAATATTTTAGCACCCTTGTAAAAAAATTTGGCATAATTATGCTAGAAAGGGCTTTTGCATAATTAACGTAACATTAAAATAGGGGGTTTAAATAAAGTAAGAATATATTAAACAAAAAATTAGAATTATTTTACATATGAAAAATTGTAAAAATATGTTTCGAGATTAATTTTAAAAAATGTAAAAATTAAAGTTTAACGATTTATTATTTTTTATTGTTTAGAGTCCCGCCGGACACTGATAGGATTTCTCTATGCAAGGCTCTCTAAGCGTATGATTATATTCAAATGAGTTTTTAAAAAAATTGCTAAAAATAAAGATTTCTTTAATAATTCAATAGAAATATAACTTCCTATCTCCAACCTAAATTTGACATGATTATAAAGTCAATAATTGAAAAGTATAATCTGTAGCTTCATGGTGGGGGGGGGGGGGGGTCGACCTCCCAAAAAATTTTGAAGAGCCCCTGAAATTGTAAAGGTTAGTGAAGCCACTGAACGAACTTTTAGATTTCAATTTCACTCCAATAATTATTTCTCCAATGTGTCCTTAGGTCCCATAGGCTATAATTTATTATCAATTTTATGTGGAATTTTTTTTCTCAGATCAATGGGGATTGTGGATCCTTTCTTATTGACAATAAGCCTGAATTGGTATATTCCGATACTCTCTAAGTTTCCTCGGAACTCAGACTAGCTTATCTTTTTTTTTAAATATCTCATTTTATTTTTTTTAAACAAAAACATTATTTAAATATTATTAGGATATTGGATAAATATATTTTTTTGGTTTTTATCTTAATTTGAACACTAGAATCAGGGCAAGCTATCAAGGTAGATGTTTTTTTAATATTAAGGTTGGAATACTTTTGGCCTGACATTTCGCCTAAATTTTTTTCTCTTAAGAAGCGAAAATAAGCACAAATGTATGACAACAAACACTATGAGGGCCAAAATGCGCTAATGTGTGAATGCTACCGACTTCAATGTTTATTAACTAAAGCATCCATGAGCTCAAATTTTGATAGCTGATTATGATCATCAACTATAAATAGAAAATACAAATTGAACCCAACGGATGAAACTAATATACCGAATTACACTGGTTCGAATCTCAATAATAGTTTCATTCATTTTATTATAGAACTAGATAATTTTACCATCTTGCACAAGAAAGTTATCCATTGACATTTTACATAAATAAGATGCAGAGAAAATTTTAATAATAACCGTAATTAACATTTTTATATATAAATATATAAATATTTTACAAATATTACATCAATTAAAAATAAAGTTTATTCAATTATTATTTAATGAAAATATATATTATTTATCTTAAGTATTAATGTAATTGTTTTATCTTATATATTAATATAATTGTTACTTATTGTGATTTGTTGGCACATATTGACGCGCTGCGCTCATTAGGCAAAAAGACTATAGGCTAATCGCCGGTACACCATTTATTTAATATATTTTTTTTCCCTATATGTATAACCTATTGGAGGAAATCGTTAAAATTATTGCTATACTATTAATGCAGATGTGGGTTAGGGTTAATTTAAGCACAAATATTAGATTAATTTTAAGAATAAGAACAAATGAGCAATATTAATAATTATAGGTCAAATATGATACTCCGAATTTAGTTTAGTATTTCTATAACAAGGGTGTAAGTGGGGAGCTAAGCCCCCTTCTAATATTTTTGATTCTTAACCCGCCCCCCTTCCAAATTTTGAGGAGGGTTTGAGCCCCCCCCCTCCTTTCCAATAAATAATTTTAATATATTTCGAAAGTGTTAAATTTGAGTCTCCTTTCTCCTTTATTGTGATAAAAATTAATATTTTTACATAGTCAAAAATCTTTTTCATATTTTTTTATAGACACATAGAAGATGGAGAAGCAAAAAGTTTTATTTTCATCATTTTTATAAATTTTTATAAGTCACCGTCGCTTTTACTTTATAAGTGTGTTTTACCACCAACAAGGTGGTGATAAATAACTCCATTTTAACAGGTTTTGAGCCAACTCTAAAAAGACTAAACCTTTTTAAACGAAATCATCATAGTCTAGGTCGAGGTTTAAATAAAGATTAGCTCAATCTTTAAAAAATATACTCTTGCCACAAGGCGTAGCAAATTTTTTTGACTGTTGGGATTTAGCCGATTTAGCAACACTTCAGACAAGAAATAGTCCCATTTTAACAAAAAATGTTTAATAGAAATTTTCAATAGGTTGGATATTTTACTATGTTAGAAATAATTAATTGGGATATTTTTATATCAGGTTTTTCAGTGTCCTATTGCCAATTAGCCATTTTTTTATTGATTGACAGATATATAAAATAATTAACTATAAGGAACATGTTGACAAATAATAAAATATTATATAGGTAGCGTCTACATGACAGAAAATTTATTAGGATCAATCTCCTTCCGAAAATAACCCCTATCCCCTAAAAAAAATTTCCCCGCCTTATGGTCGCGATATTTTTACTTACCCATTTTGCTCTAACAACTCATGATATTAATTAAACAAATATAATGAGCCACCATTAGTAACCTTAAAACAATTCTAATTAAATTCTTTCAGGTCTCATAATTATTTAGGCCAGGTATAACAAATATTCATTAGTTAGTGACAATAATTAGTTCTTGCTAACCGTATTCTATATATTAGCCAGGAGCAGTAGCATCACTAGGAGGGCTCGAGCCCCCTAAAAAATTTGAAGAGCCCTCTCAAAATTTTGAATTTTTTTTATATATCAAATGTCCGGAGACTGTAAAGACGCCCCTGGCCAGGAGCATGTATAACTTCAAAGTATACTAAAATATTATCTGAGGAATAAATAAGAAAGAAATATTCATTAATAGATTTCATTATCTTTTATCAGTTATTTTTATCTGTAATCTACAAATAATGTCTATTTTTGTATTTCCCTACCCCGTTTGGTGTGCACCCCCCGGCAATTTGCTCCTACCCCTCTCTTCTCTCATATTTTATTTAAAAAAATACAATATTAATAAGATTATTTATATAATTTCTCTAAAAAGCCTCATGCATTCCATTTGATGGATGGCTTTAAATACGGGGGTAAAATGACTTGAATAAATTTTAATAAAATAATATTTTTATTTTAGAAATTCCTTCTAATATATACATTATCCAAGAAGAAATTGGCCTAAAAACCTAGATGGGCGATTTAGCGTAAGCAAATAAAAAGAATCTGCCAAAGATTCAACTTAAATTAACATTATAGGCTTCTACAATATATCGATGAAGTTATCCTAATGAAAATTTTACAATACATCGCTAAAGTCATTCCTATTTAAAATTTTTAAAAATTTCTCAACTGTGTGTGTAGATACTTATATTTTCATAAATATTAATGGACCTTCGATATCGGAATGGATTCCAGATCCATGCAAGATATGGAAACGGAATTATCGCGGGAGAATGAAATTTTTTAAGGAAAAATACATCCCAAAGAAAACACAGAAATGAAAGATTTATAAAAAATTTTCTATTCCATCCAATTATTTCTAAATTTGCAAAAAAAATTGATATGAAAATAAATATATGACCATTAGTTAGTATTCAGCATATTATATGCAGATTTTTATAACTAAATCAATTATACAAAATATTTTTAGAAATATAATATATGTTAATCAATATTTATTAAACATCATATAATTTAGAGACATTGGAAACAAAAGGAGTTAAAGTCATGCAAGGATGGATGCAGTGTTACTGAGTGTTGTGCGAAATCACCAATGGCTAATTATACTACATCCCCAAGTAATTACAAATTAAATATTAATCTTATTTATAATATAAAATTTTATTTGAAATAATTTTGTATTAAGCAAAATTAGTGGCATCTTTAAATTTCAACATTTCGGCAGGCTAATAAGTGATTTATTGCATTGCCTTTATATATTTAATATTAGAGTGGATGGAAACATTATCTAAAATATATAGGTATATATTCTACGAATATTATAATAAATTTCCGGTAAAATCAAACTTTTCAAATTAAAAAAACAATCCCAAAAATCTTATTTTGTTAGAATTCCAGTAAATATAAATTTAAGATAATTTTTAAATTCAAAAGGAAGTCCTAATTGCTAGATTTTTAACACTTTAAATAACTATAATCCTTTTTTTCAAATTCTAATTTAATATAGAAATATATTGACATACAAACACGTTTAAAAAAAAATTAAAGGTTATTGTTTCGCGAAGCAAAAGGAAAATCAATTCTGTTCTTTACCTGGAAATCAGTTAGCATATGTGTCTTGTGGTTGTCAGGATCATTTAAAATGTATTAAACTGTCAGAATTTTGGGGAAAGTGTCGTAAATGAGAAGCAACTGTCGACATTTAAGATTAATAGACACTTTTATGATATATATTAATAATTATTGTATAATAATAATAATTTTAGAGGATATCACTAAATACATTTAAAATATTTATTTTAAAATTCATAATTCTTAAATAATAAAGTTTAATCATTCATTATAATTTGGCTATCATTTTAATATAGTATGTCTCAGGACTTTGAGGAATTAAAAATGTTCCAAGATTACCCTATGAATTGGTCGAACTGATGCCTTTTTGGCCTTAAACTTACCTAATCACATTTAACAAAAATTATAATAAAACGAAGTTATAAGACTTAGACAGGATTTAAAAACATCTCATTTTTAAAAATATATCGAAATACTTTAAAGTCCAAAATTTAATAGTCGAATAATATTTAAAATATTAACAATTAGAAAAATCTCAAAAGTATCTGAAAATTCATAAATACAAATATTATCACCTAAAAAAATATATATGATTGATTAAAATTATAAATATATAAGTCCTATCTAAATCATTGGACTGCCACTTTATAATATTTTTATTATTAAAATGGGATTTTAAATCCTGCCAAGTCTTAGGCATCTAAGTTTTAAAAAAATGCAAGTGACCTCCGACTAAGTTCAAGTTTCTGAGATAATTGACATAGACTTCATCTAGATCCTAGAATCTTGAAGAATCCTAAATTTCACCAAATCCTACAATGTTGACACATATATATTATATATAAAATTTAAATTAAAAATATAAGGAAATGAGCAAAAATGAGGGTATTGTATAGGAGAAAGAAGATAATTATTTATATAAATGGGTATATTATTCAATGTAAGAGAAATCTAAATGATGCGAATAATAGCGATAATATCTCTTTGCTATAGAATTTTTTTTATGCTTATTGGGTTTTTCGGGGATCCATCTACAGTTATTTGAAAAAGTTAGGGTTGTGTTGTTAAAAGGCTCGTTTTGAGCCGATTTTTAAAAACGGCTAATTCAATATTTCATCCAGAAGAATAATACGCAGGGCCTGAAGATTTTGTTCATAGAAGGAACAAATGTCTAGACATATATTAACAAAATCTCGAGGTTTAAACAATATTTTTCTGGCTAAAATATTGAGTTAGCCGTTTTAAGAAGCGGCTCAAAACGAGCCATTTAACAACACTAAGTTAGGGACTTTAATATAGAAAAACGTTAGAATAGAGTATGAAATAGAAAAGGAATATATGAATATCAAGCGCCAATAAAACTTGGCTAATACATGGATAAGACGATTGGATCGATGAAGATGAAGCCTCACATATCAATAGCGAAGTCCTCATATCTTCGTTTTTATACATCTCGATAATTGATTATGGTAAATTCTGCCAGATGTCGATTACAGCGTTTGCAAAGGTTAGACCAAACCAGGTCTGTAACCAAAATTTTTTAATGGAAAAGAGAGAGGCGATAATTTTTTTCAAACATTGAAACAAATTTAATTAATTTTAAAAATTATTAGAACCAATCATATTTTAAAAATTACGATCAAATAATAAAATATTGGACAAAAAAATATAAAAGTTTTCTTATATTTATGCTTGATTATTGGTATTGTTGCCAAAATATATGGAAATTTTAATATATTTTTACAAGATTGTACATTTGACCGGTCAAATGCGATTCGGTAATTGACTGATATTTGACCGGTCAAATATGGTCAAATTCACATAATTGTTTTTTACGCCATTATTAACTTTATTATATATATATATAATATTATAATGAATCTATGTATAATATTAAATTTCATAATATTTTTTTTAATTCATTCCACAGTTGTTTCGCCCTCCGTAGCAGAGTATTGTTCCGATTCATATACAATATCATTATTCTCTTTAATATTTTTAATCAATCTTAAATTATGATATATACTCTTACCAATTTTCCTGTTGTAGAAGTCTTCAATCGATTTCTGTTTTTCATATGAATATTTCCCCAAATCGACCAATTTCTTTCTGAAGAAGAAGTAGAATTAGGAAATTTTAGTAAAATATTAGCTACTTCTCTTACTTGGCAAGGTAAGCAAAGTGCATTCCACCAACTTGAGGCTGAAATCTAATTGTTTCTTATGGAAGTTACCACTTTCCACATATTTTGGCTATTAAATATGCCGCTTTTACTTTTGAAATTTATTATATCACTTAAAATATTTAGATTATCACCATCTTGTAAAATAACAAATTCTTGTATCATATTACATGCTTCATCAAAAGATGCCCCCCTTGATATTGAGGGTCCAATAAATAAGCAGCATTGTGAGCACATGTATTTAGATCATTTTTTCTGTTTTCAAACATAACTTTAATTTTTTTTCTTCAGGTGGAGAAAATATAGAATCATGGCATGATTGTAATATGTGTTTTTCCAAATTAAGCATCTCGTTTTTTACATGAGCTAAAGTACATTTATCCCATTGCACTTTCAACAATGAGGTAGCTAAAGGTTGGAATATATCTAAAAATTTTAAATTTTTCGTCCAAAATATTTCTTCATTTAATATATTATTTGTAATTTCTATAGGACAAATATCACATATAACTTCTTCAACAATGGATGTTTTCAGAGCTTTTTTACATATTTATATTTCGCTCCATACATTTTATTGACGATGTCCATCTCTTTTGGCTAATTGTACTTAATGTAGATGGTATACCATGTTATTCTTATTAAGGAATTGAGATTTTTGTAAAAATAAATATGAAGAAATAATTAATAGGACCAACATTCAAAATGATTTCTATTTAATCATCCTTATTTTTTAATACTAAGTAATATATAATAAATTGCAACTGTAATAGATACGCGCCAAATTGACGCCGCGCTGAATTGTCGCTGCGCCGAATTTTCCGCGCCGAATTGACGTGATACCATCTATGAAACCGGTTATACAAGATTGATATTTGCATTTAATTTCCTTGCTTGATCAGAGATAATGGAATCAAATTTTCTTGAGTAACAAGACAAAATAATGTCAATTTGATAATCATTCTCACTAATTTCACCCAATTCTTCGTTAGAGCTAGAAGTATTATAAATTAAATTTATTTGATTTTTTGAGGTTGATATTTTGGAATTTGAATAAAATTTTTCCTTAATTATGGCAAGGCACATCGTACAGCTGCTTAATAAATGCTTGACCATTCTATCAACGTGGGTAATATAGGACATCTTGCAAAACTGCATACTGCTCTAACTGATTTACCATCGCTTCTTGAAAATGTTTCCAAACTTGATGCTTTGGTTTGATCATAATTCCTATTATATTAAAATTTAACTATTGAATATTGTAAATTAACGCCAATTATTTCAATAAATCGGCTTAATATTATATATAATATAATATATAACTTTTTACCAGAATTGAATTAATTATTTTGTAAATCTGACGAGAACAACTAAAAAGAAAATTAATTTATAAATTCAAATGTAGCAAGTGGAAGTAAAATAAATGAGAATTAAAATAATTTATACTCGGCTAAATATTAAATAATTTAAATTCATTAAAAAATAAACCATGACTTAGCTAAATTATTATATTTATTTATTTTAGATAAAAAAAATTCTTTTGTATTCGATTCCTTCATGATACAAATTTATTTTTAAATAAATTGTAACTTAAACATGCTTTTAATGCATACTATAATTTATCAAAATATTTATTCGCCAATTATATTTTAGAGTATTTGACCGGTCAAATACTCCTCCGGTCAATTGATCGGCCAATTCACCGAATTCGACCTGTCAATTGACCGATATGCCAACCCTGTATTTTTAATGCAATGCTTCCATGGCGTTTCTCAGAAGATTATTTATTAGAATTAATTATACTAATTTATGCTAAATCAATGTCAATTTTTGAAAAATATTGCATAAGATAGGTTTGTTTTATACATATTCCTATGCCGATAAAAATCGTCTCGTATTGAATCAAATAATGTATCTGCTTCAGGTGAAATATGATTTAGGCCATTCTGATATTTCTCCAAGGGAAATCAAATTAGGCCATTTAAAATAGAATATAATCTTGAAACAGGGACATTTATCAATTCATGAAAACCCTTTTTATTTTTTTAAAATATTTTATAATTTTTTGGTTACGGGGGAAGGGTCTTTACCCCCATCTCTTACTAGCTAATTGTTATGCGCCTGGACAAAATCGATTCATTTACGTTATATAAAATTTTGATATATATATGCTTATTTCTATTATAGATATAAAACCTCTAATGAGTTTAAATATATTCATCAGATTACTTGTCGAGTCTTACAATATCCATGAATAATATTCATGATTAAACCGTAATTATATTAATTTTTTTATTCATATATTAATTATAAGTTACATTTTTGTCAGTTTCAGTTCCTTGATAAAATTCCTATTGAATAAATGAATAGGCTATATATTAGGAGTTAAGTTATATCATAATTCGCAAAATAGTCTGAATGAGATTGGATTGTGAATGACACATTATAAGTATAATTAAATAAGTATAAATAAATAGTTAAAATTATAAAATATTTATAATATTTTACATTTTTAGTACAGTAAATTTTCACATTGATTAAAACATTTTTCATACTTATACAAAAATATTGCAATTATGATTTTTCTTGATATTGGTATATCCAATATTATAGACAATAATCCTCGTATAAAGTTTCGTTACACTGAGAACAAGTAACATAACAGCACCATTTGAATTTGCAACGGCACATTTTGTTGATTTTCTCCGTTATTCGGGTTGTATGGCCTCTTCCGCAACACATCAGATCACATCCATCCAATTTAGTGGAACGAGAATCACATTTGCGTCCCTTTGTTCCAAAGGTATATCCTAGTTTAGGTTTTGGATCACAAAAATCAGGACTTGGTTTGACATATACTAAATCAAGTTTTGTTTGAGGCTTTATACCGATTTTTGAAGGCACTAATGTTTTTCTGCCACTTTCTGTGATCTCCAATCTTTTTAAATTTAGAGTTAATAAATTTAGATTTCTCATATAATAACGCGATAATCAGAGGGTGGGGCTGGGGTGGGGGAGAATTTGAAAGCAAAATTAAGAATAAACTTAATATATAACTGAATACACTTTAAGTTTATAGGCTGTGTTCTGGTTTGACTTATTACTAAATAGACGGCTTTTTAGTATTTACAAAACAGCCAAAAAAATAAGAGACAATTAATTATTTTCCAAATAAGTATATATCGATATAGAAAACGAGGTAAATATTATATAAATATAATCCATAACAAGCTCACCCTATATGATTGCACCCACAATAATATTAGCATGAGTGATATTGATCTCAATTTATTTCCTCAATATTCGAAATTTTTGGCTCATTATGCCAATCAAGTTCTTTTAAAATAAAGATTATATTTATTTCTTTCTCTTTATTAGAAAATCTTGACCTTTTCGTGTCGATTCAGATATATCTTCTTGCCAATCAACATATTCTGATTGAGCATATAAGTAATGGTTAAATGAAGGTTATTTCTTCTATTTTAAGTTATAAAAAAATGTGTCAGTGAGAGTAAAGTTAGAGAGATTGAGAGTTTATTAGTTATTATAAACAAAAATATATTAAATTACAAATAATGCAGACGATAAAATTATAAATAGTAAGCAGACGATAAAATTCATAATGTAAAGGACTATATAATTTTTTTAAATATTTAGCAACGATCAATTTTTTATTGATATCTTCTACCCTTGTAAACTCGAACGATTTGGTATGACCAAAGTCATGTTATGTTTTAAATCTATCTTTTTTCAATTTACAATAAAAAAAAATAAATCTTAATGAATATTATGAATAAAAATTAAGTATATTATTAGGAAAAAATTTTAACAAAAATATAATTGGGATGAAAAAGTTGCAATCAAGATGTAAAAAAATGTGTCATATTCGTAAAGCGTCTTTGTAACAAATATTATTAATTTTAACTTTTATGTAATAAATTTTATTAGACCTTAACTAGATATGGTCTTTTTTTATCCCAAAATATACAGAAGTGTATATAATTGATTGTAATTTTTAATTTGGGATGTCATATTAATATAAATGAAATATATTTAATATTAACTTGAAAAGTAACAGCTAATTCAGTCATTATTAAGAAAAATGCAACTGATTATAGTGTCTATGCTAATTTTTTCAAATTCGAAAGTAACTAGTAATAGTGATTAATTACAAAATTATATCCCAATAAATCTAACCACCATTATCAATAGTAATTAAATTTAAATTATGCAGTTCCCATTTTGTATCAAATTCATTTTTTAAAAAACAGAAAAATATTTACCTTACAAGATATAAACCCTATACCTCGGATTGCTAGGAAGAAATTAATAGTTCTGGAATAAGCAAGCTATTATGGCTTTAATTTGTATAAATTATAAGTTAATCAAATTAGATTTGTTGTTAATCTATCTATTATATCTGGATATGATAATGTGGACACTTTTATATTAAAATAAACACAATTGTATATATTTGTGCATAGAAATTAAATTTATTACAAAAATATATAGTATATACTGTATATATTTCATATTACTAAGCAGAATAATTATTCTAAGATTATGTTATTTACTATTCAATTTTCTCTCTAATTGGATCTAAAACAAAAATTATGAATAATTAAGACACATCCAAAAACAAATTGATAAGTATATTTTTTAAATAGACCAGCTTGTTCATAAACAAACCAAAATAGGTGTCCTTAAAAACATTTAACCTATACTAAAAAGCAATTAAGTATCATAAATAAGTCTAACCAGGATACAGTCTTGCAGCTTTTTAATAAAATTTATAGTTGTATGAAAAATTTTATATGTCTGACCTTTCTTGTCGATCATGTGGCTTTCCTTCAAACTTTAATTTTACCTCAGTCGCTCCGTCAAACTTTACCTTTAACACTTTTCCAATCGTGGTAAATGAGGATGGTAATGCTCTCCAACAGGTTTTGAGTTCACACGAACCCGACGCTCCATGACATTTGCAATAAGTATGAACGGCCAATTCCACTGCCTTTAGTAAATATATCGATATATATAGAAATATTGGTGAAATAATGAATTATATGCTTAATAACGTACGTAGCCACCCCCCCCCCCCCAGATTACTATACATCCTCAAATTGTTCAAATCAAAGAAGTCTTTATGATTAAAGGAATAAATAAAAGCTAGGATTATTCCTTTAAAATTGTTAATAATTATAATATATTTAACTTTTCGTCCAGCCCCGCTATTATGTAGATTAGTTAATACTTTCGCCCCTAATTCTTCTAATCTCGTTTCTATTTTACCGTCATTTGGTTTAACAACGTTATTAACATATTTATCAATTTCGTACCATTGCTTAAAGCTATCACCTCTATAATACCCATCCGTAGAGTGATTAAACTTTATCGAGTTAACCTTTAATTTGTTATAGTAATTCCTTTTCTTTCGTTTGAAATTAAGCTCTTCACGAGTTTCTATAAAATTTTGAGCAAAGGCTAATCCGAAAGCAGTGTTGTCGGAGCAACCTGCCCAGAAAAATTTATTTTTATTTGGGATTACATTATTTCCGTTGAAATAATTGGATTGAGGTTTATTCATATCTAATTTAAATTTATCATTAATATTTTGTGATAAACGATTTGCATTGGTTGGTCTGTAAACTTTGGTGTTAATTAAATTGTAATGTGAATACATTCCCTTGTAATTTGACGGATTAATGGATCTTCTAAAGCGCTTATTTGACATATTTTCAATTATCAATTGTTTATTAATACTATTATCGCTTATTTTGCTAAAATGGGACTCTCGTGAATCTCCTATCAATAGATCTTTATCAAAATGTCCTGGTATTAAATATTTATTGTGTAACTCTACAGAATTATAACTTGGAACATTTTCCGGCATACTCATGTCGCACCCACATCTGCTTAATTTACCTTGACTACATGCCCTAGTAATAGAATAAGCCAAACCAGCTGAAGAAATTGCGTGAACGAATGCAGCTTCTCTTGTTCCTAGATAAAAAAAAATTAGTATAATTTTCTTCTGAAAAAAATTTTAAATATGTTTACCTGAATTAAGTAGTTTTCCCAAATTTTTGACTTGTTTTTTAACGATATTTTTGATTTCCTCTTCGTCATTCATATTGTAATCTTTTTTATTTATTAAGGTATCGTAAGTGGAAAAATGAGGGCTGCTTACAGGCTCGGCCCTTTCAACAATTCTTGAAATTGTTTGCCTTGGGAAGAGTGATCCTAACTTAGGTTGATTAGCTTGGAACAAAGTGCAATTCCATCTCCTATCTTGGAATTGATTTTGGCATTCTGTTAAGGCTATACTGGCACCCTTATGTATGCTTTGAAAAAGTTCCAAATCCTCGGGGTTTCTTTGGCAGACGCTTATAATTTGTTCGAGATCAATCTTAGACAATATATCTTTCCTTCGGCACATTTGAGAATCGAATAAATAATATCTTGAAAAGCGATGATTGAGTTGCTGTTTGGCATAGGTTGAAACATCGAGATCGTTTTTAAATTGGTTGGTATTTGGTATAAAGTTATTTGAGAGAAATTTTAAATTGCTCTTTGTATATGAGACGGAGATATCGTTGATTTGATTATTATTAATCTTAATCTGATTTAAATTTAGATTATCGTTTGGAAGTTCTTGATCATGTATATCAAGATTTTCAATAGCGTTAGGATTATAAAGAACGGAACCAATGTTAGCCAAAGTTCTAAATGTTTTATTTATTTAACGCATAGAAAGCAATTATATGGTTTAATTAGAGTTTGAAATTTGAACTAATAAAAAGGCTTTATTTCAGATTTCATTTCTGAATATATATTTTTTTAAATTGGTTTTGATTCAGATTCCTAAAAGTTTAGAAAAAGAATTCTGGTCTCGATTAGATTTCATCCGATTTTGAGAATTCTAGATTCTGGTTCCAGTTCCAAACTCTGATAAGGCGATGGAAAAAAAATTGAAAATTAAATAACCTTATCTAAAATGAACCATAAAATAATTTAAACAATATACATATAATTATTTTTTACACTTGTTAAAACCTGTTCAAGTTAAAATTTTAAAATGGATATCGGTTCCTATAAATTATGATAGAGGAATTCTGCTACGGTTTCAAAATCCACTTCAATTTAATATTGTTGTTATTATAATTTCTATTTAATTAAAATTCCTTAAGAAAACAAATTAATATGGTATTTAAAATTATATATATGTACAAGGCGGAATCCTCTAGGTACTTTAAATCTTGCAAGTAAAAGCTTAATTTTTTGGATCCTTTAACATTAGATGTCAATCAATTTCGTGCATACTTCATAATATTAAATTTTTTCTTAAATGAAAAAGGAAATTTTAGACAGGGCTGGCTCAATATTATTTACAAAGTCTAGCAAATTATATTTTTGGTTCCTGCTGCCTCGCCCTTATAATTTTTAATTATAATTTATTTTCCCAAATGTGTAGAAAAATTCAATAGAAAAATGTCAAAATTTTTGTCATTTAGAGTTAAATTTCCCCATAATTGAAATCACAATATATGCCTGTATGAATTTAGTACTTTTACCGATATTCTTCCAATTCATATAACATGTTGTGAGTAAAATTAGAAAATAATACACAATAACATTATATCATTCTTCGTAAATCAACTATCTTCTTCCTAGATTTTCATTATTATAAAATTTTTGGATGGTATAATGGATAGAGCTTCCTATTTTTATTTTAATATTTATATAAATTAATTGGATATAAAGCATTTCAAGATCACGATTTGCAAATGGATTTCTGATATATAATTAATTGTTAAATCTTGAATTTGCATTTTCCTTGGTTATTTTGATGGCATTGAACTTATTCTCATTATTTAAAGAATATTCTGGCTCTTCTACCTCTGTTATTATTTCATTTTTTACTCCTTTTACTTCCTTGATTCTCAACTTGTATTAAATTAGCCGATTTAATAGTGTTTTTTTTATTCTAACCAATGGAAACTTTTTGTTGTGCGCTTTATTAATTGTTAATTATTTTACTTTTTCTCATTTGGTTTATAAAATTGAGGTAACTTATAAAATGCAATATAATCAAAATGTGCCTTGCTTTTAATTAGTCAAAAAATTCACGATTTTAGATTTTGGACCAAACATATAGATCGAAAAATTGAATTCAAATGATATGTATATTAGAGAACTGCAAAAGTAGGCCCAGGCAGTACCAGGTCGAACCCGGCACGGTCCAAAAGGGCTTCGGGTCGGGTCTGGTCTTAATATTTTTATAAAATATATATAAATTTATCAATTTTATGTTGAATTTTTTATGTAAAATAAAAATATGTGATTTTATTTATAGAAACTAGTCACCATATGACATATATCTTTTATTTTGAGTAATTATAATATCTTAAGAGAATTAATTTTTATAAATAAATTCGGGTAAGGCCGGTAAAATTTTTTTAAAAAAAATTCGCGTTCGGGCCGGGCCGGAAAAACTTTTTAAAAAAATTTCGGGCCGTGCCGGTCTTGAAAAATTAGGCTTGATGCAGATCACTAATGTATATACCTAAAATAATAATTTCGAAATATAAAATATATAATTTTGGAGAATTAATGATATATCTAACTAACAATATTAAAAAATTAACACATGCCCTTAGCAGGCGCATAGTCAGATATTTTCTACGGGGGTGGGGGGGGGGGGGGTTTAAATTTTTTAATATTAAAATAGTTTTTTGAAATATTGAGTATATATTAGAACTAATCATGATATAAAATTTATTATAGCCAAAGCTAATCATTTTTTTAAAAATAACAATTTTGAACATAATAAAATATTGAAAAATAAAAAATATTTAAGAGCAATATAATATTGTTAAAATATTATAGCTATATAAACCGGTAAGTAAATCAAAATGAACAAATTTAGAATTAAACATTATATGATTATTTAAAAAGTTAAATAATAATAATTTTATATTTTGATAAAAAGAAATCAAAATATTGTTCATAAATTGAAATTTAATCTTATATGTGATTATGCCAATTTTTCAATAGATTGTTCTGTATTGGGAATTAAATCTCTATGTATATAAAGCAGAACTAGTCCATTCAATCAATTTTATGATGTCGTACTTCTGAGACAAGATTTATTCTCCCTAATGAAGAAATTATTCTCTCATTTATGCCTGTACTAATTGGTATTTCTGACAAAATATACAGTAATCTTAATATATTTGGGAAAAGCTCTAAAATATATTTCAAGTATGCAGTGCTTCAATGGGTTTCTTGGAGTATATTAATCTATCATACCAAACTTTAAATTCTAAAATTAATTTGCCTTCAGGTACATTTATATCATCTGAATAAAACTGTGCTAAATATTTAATTTTTTAATAATTTAATTCTTAAACAGATTTCTAGGTAAAATAGTATTTGTAAACTGGATGGAGTCATTTGATGAATCACAAATCGTTGATTGATTGAAATGTATCCAAAACTGGAATAATAGTTATTTTATAGTAATACTCAAAAGGAGTCCATTTAATACTGGAATAATTTCTTTGTCTAGGTGTAGTCGAAGGTTGAGAGTCTCAAAATCATAAAATTTCTCTTTCGTCTCAACAATTACACAAATCTCATATGTAGTGTTGTAAAATGGCTCGATTTGAGCCAATTTTTAATAACGGCTAACTCAATATTTTATCTATTAAAATATTACGCTGGCTTAAAGATTTTGTTTATAGATGGTACAAATGTTTAAACATCTATTAGTGAAATCACAAGGTTAGGGAATATTTTTCTGGCAAAAATATTGAGTTAGCCTCATTTAAAGATCTGTTAAAACGTGACGTTTAACAATACTACTCGTATGTTCGAAATTATTTCATTGTAATATTCGCGATTTTCATAACCTCAACCGAATCCATTTGATTAATATTGTATAAAATCGTTGTGTAAATAAATAATTTATTAATACATTTCAATGCAAAAAAAATCGGCTCTCATATTGAATCAATAGTGCTTCAGTTTCAAATGAAATATCTGGTTCTGGTCATTCTGATATTTCTTAAATAGCAATCAAAGTTGGTTCCTCTTGATTCAAAAATGCTGTAAGCTTGATGTCCAAGGCTCCATCTTGTCTGGCATGTTCTTGCAGTGTTTTTTTCTTTGTAGCTTAAGAAGTCTATTTAAATTTTTATCCGTTATGACATGTCGTAAAAATTACAATATTTTTACTTAATATTATTAGGTTGTATTAAAAAATTAAAAGTTTAAACATGACAAAATGAACATTATATGAAAGTTAAATATCTATTTTAATATTTGGGAAAGTTTCAGATTGATATATAATGCTTAAATATATGTTAAGATCAAATTAGTAATATTACCACCATTGAGGTTAGTACAATGGCTAGTCGGCACAATCAGTGAATTTTTATTATATTATTATGGTACTCAAATATATATGCAAAATTCAAAATAGTAAAGTTTTTACTAAAAAAAGATTATGAAGAAACTATAAAACTGTATGAAAATGATATCTCATTAAGAAAAATACCATTTATTACAGGTTAAAATATAATATTTTATAAATGTAATATTTTAAATATTAATTATTATATTAATTTATTATATTAATTTATTAATGTAATTGATTTTTCATAATACATTTCAATTTTAATATAATATCAGACCTAAATAACTTGCAAACTAAAATCTTCATATACATATTGTGATAATATATTATAATATTGTCACAGATAATATAATATTTTATAAATGTAATATATTAAATAATAATTAATACATAAATTTATTAATGTGATTGATTTTTCATAATACATTTCAATTTTTATCTTGCAAAAAATCTTCATGTAGATATTGTGATAATATATTATATATTGTCACAGATATTATATATATTGCATATGTAAATTTTAGCCTGATAATAAGATCTTATTTATATTAATTATATCTAGCAAACAAATATAATATATATATTTTTTTTTAATTGACAATATAATATGATTCAAATTAATACATTTTATTAGATATGAACATTTTAGCATATAAATTTTAGCCTGATAATAATATCAATATATTTAAAATGAATTATATCTAACAAACAAATATTTATATATATATATCTATTTTAATTGACAAGATTCAAATTAATTTATTTTATTGGACATGAACATTTTAGTTATCAGATTATATTTAGCCTGATGATAAAATCAATGATGTTATATATTTAAATATAGAATAGATAAATTTAGAGTAAATTTATTATTAATAAAAATAAACATTAATAAAAAATTAATAAAAGAAGTGTGTATTATATGTAATCAGGATTATAAAAGTTTTCATAATTTTGAAGATTGGTTTCAATGTAGAGTGGTTCTCTGTCAAAAAAGATTGTTATTTTATTTGTTATAATTGTAAATAGAATATTATATAAATAAAGTATCATAGTTATATTTAAAATCTGAAAAAAATATTTTTTTGTCCCATAAGAAGCCTAATAAACCACTTGATTAGACTAGCCCCATCGATGATCTGACTAACCACGGGTTCGGGGCTACTAGGTTCAAAAAATGACTTATACTAAAACCTTTCTAGAGAAATAATTGTTAAATATTTAAAAAATATAACAGTATATATTTATAGGTAGATGTTTAAGGTATCTATTGGTATTTTGTGAGATCTTATATGATCATTATTT